ATAATAATAAGTATGAAATTATCAAACATATAAATTCTCAATAAAATTCAAAACTTACAAGATTTTGTGTGAACTTCTTTTATATTACAAAGGTCTTAAAAAAGGGAATTTTTATTACTTTTCTCAATACAGACCAATAAAAAAAAAAAAAAAAAAATTAAAAACACAGCCAAAAATACATATAATAAATATGGAATTTATGTTATTAATTTAGAAGGAAAATAGTGATGCAAAAGATGTGGTTCAATTACTTGTGTAGAAAACAAAACAGCAAAATATAGCTTCTAAGAATCTTACCTTGAGCTAGGCAGATGTGATACAGCAACCAGATCCAAATTGTTCATATCAAATGCAAAAAAGTTTGAGCTCCCGAAATTACTCAATGGTGTAACTACAGCAGCATATCTCTGTCCAATTCCAAGTAAGGCTTTAACTTTGACATTAAGTCTGATCTCTCTTGCCATTTTACCTAGCCTCACATCCCATTTACACAACAAGGAATGGCCATATAGATGAGGATCCTGTCTGATAAAATACAGAAATGTGTTGTCAAAGTGCAAACCTGGTGTGAATAAATTCATATCATCAGTATAAAGTGGAATACTATACAGAGAAGTGATATATAATCCTTCTGGGTCCTTCCCATCACACTCTAGACTTACAGCCCAAACCCTAACTTTACTCTTGTCCATGCTAAACATGAGATGACGCCGATAATCACTGTTGTCTAACCTTGGAAATGAGCAGAGCATGACCTTCAAAACCCAAGAAGTGTGTTCCTGGAGAGTTGTAAGAAGTGTTCCTCTCTTCAACGACCAGAACTTTATCTTTGTGTCAGCTGAGCCACTAACTAAGACATCCAAGTCTTTTGAGTAATCAAATGTGAAAACAGCACCAACATGCCGCAGGTATTCCACTGCTCTCTGACCCGTGACCATGTCCCATGATATCAGGTGACCAAGGTACGATGACACTATTATCCAATTCTGGTCAAATTTGATTGATGCTACACTGGCATAGGTCCTCCGCTTCAATAAACACACATCAGTTTCACAGTCCCATAGCTGAATAATTTTGCTTTCAGAAGCTGGTGATAGAAAAAATTGAGTTTGTATTACTATATTTTTTAATTACAGTTTATTCTAATATAAAAAGTAATGTAATATACTTAGTACAGGAAGTATTACAACTGAGTATGAAATAATTTACAACTACGTATTTAACTCTCTGACTTCCAAAAGCATCTTTAGAGAACTATTCTTGTTAATCACCATTTTCACTCACTCAAAAGGAATGTTCAGTATTAAAAAAATAATTTACAATAATTCTCTTTATAAAAGTAAAGTTCAAGATTTAAGACTTTCTTTTTTGCTAGAAGGTTTGGAGAACACTTATATGTATCACTGTTACGGAAAATTACTTTACCACAAAAATTACAAAGTTATTCCAATGAAATGAATTTATAAGCATTTAGTAATGTGTTTAGAATAAAAATACTTCAAATAACAGAAGAGAAGTCATGGTGTGCTATTAATGTATATCTTGAATTTTCAATGCTTGATCCATTGTATACAAATTTAAAATGGCTTTTATGAAAAGCCAAGATTTTATTAAAATAATGATATTTTGAGGCCTAAAAAGGGTAATGATGTTAAGGTATATGAAACAATAGTCACATCTGAATAAAATTTTAAGTTTATGGAAAATCACTTTTTAAGCTTGTACTTTTAATTAACCTCTGAATGCTTCATAAATATTTTAGCTTCAATCTATGTACAAAAATAAATGGAAATTCATGTACAATACAGTTATTGGTGAAAAGTCTCATCCCAGTTGTGAACTGTTGTTTCAGTTTACATGCTATATTCATACCTAATATTACAATATTAGGCATAAGAACTTCATTTTGAAACAAAACAAAAATTGGATAATTAAATATGATAAATCTTCCTCTGGTCATAACCATATGGCAACACTGATGAGGCATGGATGCTACTAGAGTTTGGAGTCTGCATATATCAGTCTGTACATCCAATTTGGTTGTAAATCTCCCAAAGATCCAATACATTAGTTGACTTCTTCTTCACAGCATTGCTTATTAACTGATGCTATAGTTTATGAATGGATTAGCACTGGGACTTTGGGCTGGACATTCTATATCCACAACTCTTTTATACACCTCATACTCATCAGGATAGTTTGTTTTCTTTTTGATCATCATTATGGTCAATTTCAAAACCAAAGTCACTGACACTTTTTTCATGGATATTGTGTAAATAACCAGATGTTGTAATATTGCCTTTTTACTCATAATTTGATCAATTTTTGGTATCTTCCACTCCTGCAGCAGGAAAAAAACAAACAACTTTCCTACATCATCACAGACACATTCATTTATACAGTGTTATTTCAACTTCTCACAGTCATGTCTCTGAAAAATAAAACTCTTCTAGTTTCCAAAATGCTCAATTTTTATAAGTCCATATCACAGTGTCCCATTTGTCTTTCCAATTTTATGATTATTTGCAGTCTATATATATTAATAAGGTTTATGACTACACTTTTTCACATAAGCCACTTTCTTGTAATCATCATCAACCAGTCCTATTGTTAATTCTACTATTATTCCATGAACAATCTGCATTTGTACGTGTATTCTAATGATATCTGAATCAATTTCACATCAAAATTATTTAAATAACACTGGAATTTTTTTGTACATTCCTTTTATCTTTAGACTTAAATGGTTGGTTGCAACAAAATGTTCTAATACCATATGTGCCACACCTTTGAAATGTTAGGATTTGGAACATGTAAAGCAATAATTTACTTTGTTATCCACTGAACTTTTTTCTTATTTTTCTCAGCTTCACCTACATCTCTGGATGATGATTGCACTTTACTGATCATTTACTGCAATTAATTCAACTAAAACATAGGTCATTATTTTCCTATACCCAAAATATATTTCCAATAGGTACTTACCACTTCTCACATGTATAGCTATTCTGGTTCAGTGCTAACATCTATATGCAAAAAAATTTTCTCATGCCACAAGCCTTGAACTCCCACATACCCCAAAATCAACATGGTTCAACCGCATCATGTATGTAAATAATCCTGTGATAACCCTCCACCAATAGGAGTGTGACACACCCTCCTGATGCATGTGACTCCCTCTAATCGATTCTTCCAAACTATCACTTTGAGATCAGGCACAAAAGAAAGCACTGGTTTTTAGTGGGGAGGAAGGGTGGGAAGTGTGAGAGGATATAAGTACCTATCAGAAATATATTTTCAGAATAGGAAAATAATAACTTCTCATATAGTACATTACCTCTTATCACATGATTAACTAGAATCCCACATTGAATAGGCAGAGGGACCGGTGTAAAGGAAAGAAATAACTATCCTTTGAAAGCGTTCCAAAGAACACCCATGAAGTGTAATCCTCATTGGGAGAGGAACACACATGGGAAACCACACCACTTCTGTACCAGGTATACTCTGCACCCATTATGGAAATAGGTGTCGCATAAATGGGTAGAAAGTGGGAGGAGCACAACCAAAAGGAAGAGAAAACCATGTAGGTTCGAATCCAAACCACAGCATACAACAGAAGAACAATAGAAGGTGTAGAGTGGCTAGAGTGTGACGTGGCCAGTAAACTCCAGTCTAAAACCATGCAGCATCAGTTTAACAACTTCCAACCCATGGTAGGAGGAGGGTCCACACTGTCTTCACCTCAAGTTGAGTAGAATGTAATTATATACATGTCAAACCAATCTACTAAACTGGGCACATGTGCAAATCCACAACTACCCATACATTTGGGAACCCAACATCTGAATGATGGTATGAAGGGATATGCCAATGTGGCAGTTCACATCAAACCAAATCCAATCTGACTGTAACACCTCAGCGCAACAGCAGCCTCAGGGAGGGGGAAAAACTCTGAGGCAGAACACTAAAACGAGAACCATCACCCTCCAGATAGTACTGAACAGAAGTTGGAGTGCATATGTGTGTGCAGCATCAACCTCTAGGACCCACTGCACAGAAGAGGATTATTTCTGTAAAATATAGGCAACCTCACCCTTTGGATAGAACAACACAGAAGCTGTGCACAGAATCAACCTCCAGGACCCACCACACAGAGGTGGAGCATATGTATTTGGAAATTTGTACAACATTATCCCCTGGATAGGATTGCACACAAGTTGGAATGCAATGCTAACCTCCAGGTCCCACTGCAGGGAAGTGGATTGCCTCTACAAAATATATGCAAACTTACCCTCCAGATAGAACTACACAGAAGCTGTGTGCAACATCAACCTCTGGGACCCACTGCACAGAGGTAGAGTGCATGATTGGAGGATTACACGTCATCTACACTAACAGAACACCACTGCCCTACTCTATACTTAATGGAAGTGTTTATATTCAGGAGGATACCTCCATGGTCCACCACCCCAGTGGCTCAGAACTGGAAAGCGGCAAGGACCCCCATACTCCACTAGAAGAACAAGGGTGGATAAAATGAAGTAGAGAGTTTGGAGGAACACCAGAGACAGTACAACAGGTGACCAAGAAAACCCTATATTGAAAAGCAGACCACCACTGATTAATTCAATAAAAGGGACAGCAGGGATGGACAGCTATCCTTTTCCACTTTACTCATGTAAGTCTCCATGGGTTAGTATGATCTGGAATAGGCATATTAATGAAGCAAATATATCACAAGGAATAAACCTACTAGTGATCTTGTGAAACACCCCATCTTAACAGTGTGCATTATTGGCCATGGGTATACATCTAGGTACAGTGTGGATTTGAGATATAAGAAATATATCTGTACAGCCAATGCTCACCACTGAGTAGAGGGAAAATATATATAGAAAGAATAACTTACTCAGTTATAGCCACACCAAAGTTTAAAGGATGGCAACAGGCAGAGGGCAGTACCCTGATGAGGAAGTAACAGTTTTCCAATGAAGATAGTGGGAGATGTACTTATGAGGTGTAGACCACCTGACTAAAGAGTTTTCTTCAATGGACAACAGAGGTGAGACTCCAAGAAAAAGGAAAGGTGCCTGATCTTATGCAAAAACACCTGGAACAGAATTTGGGAAGAAAGACATTGGGAGGAATAGACCAATCGAAGCAGATGATGATCCCAACTAGTAAAAGTAGAAGGAGAAAGGTCATGTACAGATTCAAAGTGCAAGAAACTAAAAAGGTTGAAATGGGAACCACTAAAGGAGGTCATGTGAGAAACTGAACAATGAAGAGCACACTCTGGACACAGATGTCTTTCTAGAGCAGACTTGCAATAGGGGTGGGAAATGGATGGAAGAGAAAATGACAGAAAGGAAGAATGACCCTCACAAGCTGCCAAAATTTTCAGTAGGAGAGATCAATCTGGATAAAGAAGAACATATGTGGAATGGAAAAAAAATAATACATGAAACATCGATGGTAAAGATCTCAGACCGATGATGCACATGTAAATGGAACCAGTTGGTCCTAACCTGACTGAGAAAACCCACTGCCAGGAGAGATGATGAGGAACAAGAGACCAAAAAAGAGGTATCTTAGTGTTTGAGTAGCAAAAGCATCCAGATGAGGATACCACACTGATTGCACAGCCACCTGTAAAACCTGAGGGTTGAGAAACCACTCCATAGGATAAACCTGGTCAGGTCTTGAAAAAGATCCATAAAAGCACTTGGAACATAACATGCAAGGAGACTTATCTGCAGCATGTGGGCCCAACAAAGGAGGTCCACTGTTTGACCACAAAGAGAACAGAAACAGGTGTCCTCTTAGTGATTGAAGTAGGCCACAACAGTGGCATTGTCTAAATGTACCAGTGGAAGAAAGTGAACCAAAGCATGTTATAATATTGCCATGAGCTCCAAGATGTTGTAAATAGTTAAGACATCACAATCTCAGACTATTGCCTGGAGGCCTCTTGCTGATGGACCCACACACCCCAACCTTGGAGAGAAGCATCTGTGATCCGATGCAAAATCTAGAAGCAGTGGAGGAAGTGGTACTCCCTACATTCTGCTGTCCTTGTTAAACCACCAATACTGATAGCCTGTAAAGGAAAGAAGAAGGGTAATTGGGAGTCTGAGGGATCCAGAACAAGATTCCACTGAAGAGAATGGCTATATGTCCAACCCAAAGGAAAAAGAGTATCAATGGAAGCCCAAGTCCTCAAAAGTGACAGAACCTCTCATGTAGAAACCGATGTAGCAGTAAATTCATGGAGAACTGAAAGCACTTTTGAATGGAGAAGTGAAGAAGTTTGGGCCCAAAGGAGGTGGCATTTGAAAAATACACCCAAGTGAGTAGGCCATAAGAAAAGTTCACCAACTCTAGACTCCAGTTTTAAATAAGCTAACAGGAGCCAGTTGTCCATGTAGTGATGGAAACTCACCCCTAGAGTATACAGAAGTCGGGCAAAAGCCTTATTCACCCATTAAAATACATAAGATACTGAAGCAATCCTGAAAGACCAGGTGCAAAACTGATACCTAACCCCTTAGTGGAAAAACCAAAGATAGCATCTGGACTGATGAGAAATATGAATATGGAGATAAGCATTCTAGATATCTACCATGGTCATCCATAGTCCTGGAGAAAAAATCCCCTGAGTGTGATAAAGGACTTCATGAGAAATCAGGGAAGATCTAGAAATTGGTTGAGACAGGGCAGATGCATCACAGAACAAAAAACCTGGAGAAGGTTGGCTGACAAACTCAACAGCTCTCTGTGATAAAAGAGTCAGCACAACCTTGGAAAGATGCAGACAGGTAGCTGGATCCCAAGTAAATGGGAAGGAAATCGGTACAGGAGACAAAGATGGTGGGGGAAAGGAAAAGTATGAAAAATCCTTCTAACAAAACTTGGATCACCCAAGAATCGGTAGTGAATACCTGACACAGGGGAAAAAATTGCCCAAATGTGCCCCCACTGGACCAGAAACAACCCCATAGTCACTGGAACTGCTGGCAAAGATGAATCTGATATTGAGATACATGGCAAAATTTTGAAACCCTAGTGGTAGGAACTGGTAAAGGACAGGAGGTTGCAGGATGAGAAACAGTTATGGGAGAGGTCATGGTATCAGAAAGAAACAAATGAGCAGCCAAAGACTAAATGGTTGAATGTGGACTCTGTGAGTCCACATGTGATTCCAAAGACTCTGGATAATCTCTTAAAACACAACAATGGAGAAAAGGAGCCATCCAGAAGTCACAAAGATAAGGGAAGGTAGATGAACATTTGAAAAGACAGCATCCTTCTCAATAAGATCCCAACAGCAACGAAACAACATGGCAAGGTACAGGGCTGAAAAGGACAACAGAACCAAAGAGGAGGAAGGAGGGAAAAGTGTAACCCCAAAAATGCCTCACGAGATGGGTGGAGTGCCTCAAAAAGGAAGTGTATGTTGGACAAGTCCTGTATGAGAGCTGTAAGGGTAAGATGAGGGTAGGAAAATGCACACATGAGAAAAGTTACTCCAACTGCTGGGAGATCAGAAAGGGTTGATTAGCTTCCTGATAAGCCAAAGCATAATGATCAGAAGTGCATGGAGAACGAGCATTGCTAACACCAACTGAGGAACAAAATGTTCAGCATGAACCCTGATGTCAGGGGAAGGAGGGAAAAACAAGAGACTCTAATGGCAGGTATCCTGTAAAAAAGGAAGAAACAGTATCACATGAAATTGGTGAAAATGCTAAACTGGAACACACCTGAGAAAGCATATCCCAGTAGATTTTGTAGGAGATGCATGGGAAGGCACAGCATAGGTAAGAGGAAAAAGGCTGTCAAAATCCTCCTTGTCATGAAAAAGGACGCCTCATATAACAATCAATCTCCAGATGAATGATAGCCAAAAAGTCCACAATCGAGATCCCAAGACCTGAAGCCAGTAATGGCACTCAAAGTAGCAGTAATAATATTAGAAGTTGTAAAACATAAACTTTGGGAATTCGACTTAAACCATGGATAAGTTGAAAATGAGAAGAAAGAAAATCAATAAACAAAGGTAAATTATCACATCAGACTACTACAGAAAAACTCACTGTAGCAAATGATTAAATCTACTTCACAAAAAAAAAAATGAAATGAACATGTGAAAAGAGCAAAATTTAACAACATCTGCACTCAATCACTGCCTAATGAGAAGTGTAAGTTCAGTAGAATCAAATAAGAGAGAGTCACATGCATCAGGAAGGTGTATTGCACTTCTACTGATGGAGGGTTGTTGTATGATGAATTACGTGCATGATGCAGTTGAACCGTGTTTATCATGGTGTCATTGGGAGTTCAAGGCTTGTGGCATGAGAAATTTTTTTTGCATACAGAGAGCAGCACTGAGGGGAGGTAATGTACCATATAGAAAATTGGTAATTCAAAAAAGGTGTGATATTAAATATATCCTTATAAAAACATGTTAATCATAGATCAGCACACTTAATCCAAATTCAGCAACTCTGAGTTTTCAGAGTAATGCAGTGTTCATGAAGCAAATACTTGTTTTTATTGCTGTTTCAGAGACAAAGTTAATAAGAGAACATTATAATGAAGGTTTTTACTACTGGACATTGTGCCTTGAATATTATGTTTTGGAACAACTGCATGTTCCTTTTTGAGGTTGGTGAGGTATGTTTTAAACAGCTTTGTGAAGCTCTGATACATCCTTGTTCAAGGCTTTTGTGTAATACACTATCCTATTGGACGTGGATTTTGTTTACTGACTGGTTCTTTTTTTCATTAGTCTAATCCATAAACTGTTTATTTCTGCTCCTTTTTCTTTGTTGGGTATTAGTTTGTTTTGTCCTTCCCATCTGTTTTACAAAACAGTATGCAAATATATCATAAGCAGCATGAGAGTGACTGTTTATGTTTTGCCAACAGAAGTTCCCATGCTTGCAGGTTTTTACAGCAAAATTAGTCTTTCACCTTTTTGGACTAACGATTACACATTATTAAGAACTACCATATTTACTGTTTTTACCATATTTATGTTTACTAATATAAGCACCACAGTACTTTCTATTTAAATATATTATTGCAAGATTCCAAATTTCCTGCAGACAATCAGAAGATTTGCACACCTTTCTTATTTTTCTGTGTGAAAATTAAGGATACTTAAGTAATAATGAGACAGAACGGCATTAAGCATTACAGTTTAACATAATTAGGTTTATATACATCTTTTAAATATGGATGTCTGTCAATGAAATGTAAAAATAAAATCGTTAGCTCAATAGTCATGTCAGCTGATAATTCCCAAGTTAAAAAATGTAAAAATGTTCAAGGTAAAAATATTTAATTTCTTTCTCTACTTTTTTCTCTAATTCCTGAAATCATATTTGCTGATTGTTGTTGAAAAATAACCTGCATTACAAAACAAATTCTCAGTTACAGACATTTTATGCTAACTATAGTTTTTGTATTGCTACTTAGATTATTCATTTGGAAAAAAAAAAGATTCATAGTTTATTTTAAAACTTGTAAAATTCATTGTTTGCAAAATGTTACCCAACAGATGAAATGTTTATTTAAAGCATATCTATTAAAACAGATGTCTGCTTCTATTCCTATGGGATGGCAACTGCCCAGAAGCACACATTGCCAACTATTTGGGCTACTCTTTACCAGTAAATAGTGGAATTGGCCATCAATTATAACAGCCACAGAAGGAGCAAGTGTGTTCAGCACCAAGCTTCAATCCCACAACCTGCAGATTACAAGTCAAACACCCTTATAACCAGGCTATGCCAGGCTCCCAAATAATGAAACAATGCATTATAATCTTTATATTTAATTACTATATTCAAGTTGATTTTTAGTTCTGATCTATGCAGGTAACTTGCTTTGATCAAAGTCAATATTAATTATTACCTGTGGCAATTTTCCCTTTAGCATAATACACAGCAGTCACTTTCCGGAGATCACGATCATAGACTTGATGGTCAAAACATTTTCCTTTCTTTAATTCTAGTCTTCTGTGGTTCATTTCAATGAAAAACTGTTTCCAATATGGTCCATCTCCACTGAGAAAGTTTCTGTCAACTCGGAAACCAAATCTAGTACATGCCTGTTGCCAAGCCTTGACAGAAGAGCTAATAACCTGATTCCATGTATGACTTACAGAACAACAAACCATCAAAGTCTTTGGATCTAAATACAGTAACAACTGTTCTTGTAACTCTGGTGGTAGTAATTTCAGAAAGTCACGACATACCAAGTGTTCAAGACGATTATAAAGATGACGCAGCTGTATTGCTCCACTGAGTGTTATGATACGATCAACAGTCTGGTTGCGTTGTTCATCACTTAACTGATTGAATTTCACACTCACCTCCTCCAACCAGCTTTGAAAATCTACACAAAAATTATGATAATAATAATAATTAGGAAATATTTAAACTTATAAGAAAGTTAAGTTATTAAATTATCTTTAGCCCAACATATTTTTCATATGTACATGTAGCATATTTTTCATCACTGTTTTTCAAAAAAACATTCATAAATAATCATTTAATCTTCCTTTTCCTGTTACATCACAAATAATATCACAGGCTGCCATCATAATAAATAAACATCCTTAAAAAGTATATTTTCATTGATGTAATCTAACAAAACACTGTAACACATTTTTTGAATAAATGTTAAAAATAACTTTCTTTAAAACATAAAACAGAATATACTACATTATTAAACATCAATTCATAATCTAGATGAAATGTAATCCTTCACTAAATGTGTAACTGACTATAAAATGAAATAGCTCCAAGCCAATAAAGAAATGTCATTTTTTATATATAACAAGCACTTGCTTAAATGCACTAACCCAAATGAGCTCATAACTACTACAAATACACTTGACTTCACAATGAAAAGTAAAACACTACCAGCAAAACCTTGTTTGGACATTAATATATTTAATTAAATACAATATTAAATTTAACTCAAAAATATGTAAAATCCAGTAAAAACATAAAATAATTTTTTCGACACACATTTCAAGACTATTATTGCTGAAGAAATATCCTATGGTTTAAAAGATTTAAACTACTCAAACTAAACTATTACTCATCAAATTATTTTTATTCAATCAGAAAAAACAGGTCAATTCCAAAATTTTAGAATACAAAGCAGAATAAGCACAGAGGACTCAAACTTATACATTACATGTATTACTATCTCTTAAAAATAATTACAAGTTCAAATTAAACATGAATGTAATGTTTCTAACAATTTACCATACAATATTTAATGAATTATATGCTACTATTTAAAAAAATGTTGACACCAAGAATTATTTGGTCATTCATTTGCAACATGGATAGTTCAAAAGAACAGGTACACTAGTTAGACAGTATATTGTAGTTGCAAAGGAAGAATATAGATCTACATGCTAATTTGTAGAAGGTAACATAAAACCTGACTTTTATTTAATGTTTTGCCAAGATAAAAACATCCTGAGAGTATACAGAAGAGTAAATATTTAATACCAATTTAATTTTTTCATATTTTTGGCCATGTTTAATTCATATGTCAGTTGGTCTCCTTACCATAAATAACATAGATTTAATAAAACAGTTAGAGAAACGTGTACCTTGCTTACATACAATGTGATTGAGCTATTGCATCTTTACCTGCCTCTTCTGATCCAAGGAATGCATTTTTTTTTCAAGCATTTTAAGTTTCTCATATAACACAAGCATAACTAGCTTTCAACCTTTTTGTCACTTCTGATTTTACAAATCAAGTACCATTTAAAAAATACTGCAAACAATTTATTATTTTTAATATGTTTATGTATCCCTTTTTGCATATTTTATTCATGCGATGATACACAGTTTTTGTCACTATGGTCAAGTTTCAGACAGAGTGGCTAACTACTGAACAGATGAAACAGTACCTAACTACTATCATTCAAAGTGCTCAGTACTGAAGAAAACTAAACTACATGCCTAAGACAACGCTTTAGCCAGTCTAGCTAATTACTGAACAGAACACAACTGTTATCATTCAAAGTATAGTTGATACTGAAAATAAACTACATTACAAGCCTAGGGTGCAGACAGTGCAGATAACTACTTGGCAGATGGAACAATACAAAACTACTATCATTCCAAGTGCTCAGTTCTGAAGACAAAGTAAACTACAGAGTGGGATCCCGTGAAAATGAGGTAAGGGACCTTAAAAGGTAAAGTAGAGACTAGTGTAGCAATGAAAATACTCACCCCTCTGTATAATCTAGTGGAAATGGTTAAGATAGCTACAGGGGGGTTGTCGAAAACCCTCAGATGAAGATACTGCCAGATCATGCAAATAATGTGAGATAAAAGTATTGGGGAGGTCCAGATACCAGCCCACACATGTCCTCCAGCAGGCAATTCAATAGGGCCACTAAGGACACAAAAATCATTAGACATGACTCACAGATGACTCTTCTCCATCACAGAGAGCCCAGAATAAGCGAAATGGACCAATTTCATACCCACCTCGTCAATGTAACTGGGAATAAATTCTGGGAAACAGAATGATCTCAATGAATAAACAGTTGTTGTCTAGCATCTCTAAAAGCATTAGTGAGGGCAACAAAACCTTCAAGACCCACACTGGACATAACAACTCAAATCTGATCAGTCATAAAAGTGAGAAATAGTGGTCAGATGAATCGGTGAAAAGCATTATCACCATCTCAGTCTGACAGTGTTTTAGGGGAAAAGGACCTATCTGAGAATGTGAGTAGAATGATAAAGCATCCTGTAGACAGAGTGAACGATTTTCCCCTTAATAAGCCCAGACCATGAAGTATCACTTTTTGAAGAGCAAGAAGGTCTAAAACATTGTATAGGGAAGCTTCGTCATTCGTGCGTAGATCTTGGAATTCCTGACTGTTGAAATATGCACCCCATCCCTGAAGCAAGACATTCATGAAGAGATGGATCTCTGGATGAGGTGGCAGCAGAGCATTGAAAGGATCTCTTGTGCACTCATCCCAAAGGCATGAGGGATTTGAGTGATGCCCACATTCCCAAAAGAGAAAGAACCATCCATGCAGTGGGAGAAAGAGAGGCAAGTTACAGTCAGACTTCCAGTTCCATATGGTAGAGGCAGATGGGAGTCGGCTGAACCCAACTGAGATACGCGAGGAAAAAATAGACTGACAACATACTGAGTTTGAGCAAGAATAGATATTTCAGCTCTAAGAATGAAGCCTGCCTTGGTTGTTTCTGAAAGTACAATCCAGAGATGGTGCCAGCAGTAACCAGTCGTCCACGAAATGGTATGTGCACAGGGCTAGGAAATGGAGGTGACAAGAAAATACTCATTTGATTTGGCAGGACCCATGTGGTGCCAATGACTAGTCTGAAGGTAAAAACCCTGAACTACAGTACCTGATCCTTGTGCACAAGAAATGCTGATAGTGGCGGGACGCCACCACTAAGGCAATGTGCAGGTAGGAGCCGACTATATCGAACTTGGACATTCACTGTCCTAGTAAGAAAAGCCAACTCAGAGTGAGGAATAGGACACTTTTGAACCTTGGGGAATCTAGAAATTGATATAGACGAGAAAAATCAATGACTGGACACCAATCTCCTGTCTTCTTGGGCCCAACAAAATGATGGGAATAAAACCTCGGAATAACTGGCACAACTCTCTCTCTCTACCTCCAGACCCACCAACCTCTAATAGCCCTAGAACTAAGTTCCGAAACTCAAGGATCTGTGAGAGACAGAAACCCCATGGGTTGGATGGATAATGGTGGTGAAGGTGTGAACTGAATGACTAATCCTGACTCAGGACCTGTAAAACCCATGAATCCATGGTTAAAGTTTACCTCACATCCAGAAATTCACAGAGCCAAGCCACTACAGACCCTGAAGGCATACAATAATCACCAATGCCACTGGTGGCATTCCAACCAAGCAGCAGAACCCTTGGATTTGGACAGAATCTAAACTAAACACCAATTTGATCCACAAAAAATACTGCAAAATTGTACATATCTGTGAAGAAAGGTAAAAAACTACACAGTCTGGAAATTTTAGAAATAAATAGATGTCTTAAAAACAAATCCAGAAAAGTTCTAAATGCACTTTTTACCCCCAGTTGTTACTAGGTGAATGTCAAAGTCACTTCCGATTCTTTGTTTAAACATATATATAAACCCTGCTACAAAACACTTCAGTCTGTACCTGATGATGCCTTTACTAGTGAAACCATGGTTGTATAAATGATGTATTTGTGCAATGTACAGTTGTTTTGTTTTTCCTCAATTCTATAGTAAGATTATAGTTACATGCTCCTTCTGCCTGTTTTGAAAACAGTAGTGTCATATTGATCCAGAGTTTCTGCTTGATAATTACATGAATCAATATTAATTTGTAATGAATATGTAAAAAAGATATACAACTGAGAAAGTTGTTGGGGGTCCATGTGTACCGCAGATGTGCTTATGAGGGTAAAATAGATTCTCAAGAAAATAATCAATTAATCAAAATTAGTGTTTCTGATCATTACTATTTTCAATTATTGCAACAATAAATTAATAAAATTATAATTAAATCAACTGTCACAAAAATAATCAATTAACTGAAATTAATACTTTTGTAATTATTTATATATTTATTATGTCTGCTTGTTGTTAAGTTCAAAGCAATGGCCAACTTTTATTTATATTGTACATACCATGGTTTTAGGAACAGTATGCTAATTTATTAATGGGGCCATCAATTAATCAATTAGCAAATATCACTAACTGCCCTACTCTTATCAATTAACTGATGCTCATAGACAATCAATTATATTGATTAATCTCTAGCCCAATTGCCGCATTATTTCTATGGGAAAAACCCATCATTTGCACACACCACTTTTGTTCCTAAACCTTCACACCCTGTGTTAATATACAGTAGACAAGTGATGTCACTATAAGCTAGATTGGGCATGCTTTTTATGCTAAGCGAATATCTGAAAACATATGTAAATAATATATTTTCTTTATAAATTACACTTCATCTGAAACAGTAAATACATTTTTTATCTTTTTTCTATGAAATGGGGAAGAAAACCAATGTGGTTTACATTCTCTACATGCATTATTGTTACATGCAGTTACATCAAGATTAAACTTGTTTTATTATAGTTATACTACTAGACATTGTGCAGTTGAATGCTAAAAAAATACAGCAGAGAATTCTAATTCAAGAGTATACAGGTACAGTGACTGGCCAGTATTCTGAAGGCCCATTAGTCCGAAGGACCAATAGTCACAGATTTTTTGTTTTTGCAATATAAGTCAAAACTGAATGAATAAACAAATTCATAGGTAGATAAAAGATTAATACAATCTCAAGTTTAAAGAGTGCATCTTGGCAGGGGTTTGGGGGACCAACTGCCCTGACAGCTTGCTCTAGTTTTAAGTACAAACAACAGAAATATTTCAATCTGCATTGTGATGTACAGCTCATTGCATTGGCTTGGTATCAATGAGTTGGTTAATGAGTTGGGAATATAACATTCATTGTCACAGCATTATGAAATAAGAATCTTGAATGTCCATTCTCTCAGAAGAGCTAGACTCCCAAATCCAATCCTGATGCATAAATATGCAGGCTCTACAGCAAACACTATACATGCATGCAACAAAATAACATCATGGAAATGATGATAAATATTATCTATCCATTCATAGGTCATATCCTGGGATGTTTTTGTCTTAAAATTTCACAAATTTACCCAAATAATCAATTTAACTGTTGGAAAAAACTTTCATCTTTGGACTAACAGGCCTTTGGAGTAATGGGCTCTTGGATTAATGGACCATCACCACATGTATTGCTATTTTTGTACTATAACAATAAAGCCTTACATACAATGCATAATTTATGCTACAACTCTGACATGTCTATTTTAATTTTTGGAATTATTATTTACTGTTTCATGCAGTGAAATAGTTACATTTGCCCGTGATATTGTTTTCTTTTTTCTATATGCCAAGCATAAGGTTCTATTCACCATGCCTCCTTGCAATATAGAACATTTTTAATGTTTTAAACAGCTTTCATTACCACAGATGTGACTCATGCAACATTAAATCTGAAGAATACATGAAAAACTGGTATGTACAACATTATACTAAACATGTGATAGTTACACTTGTTTGAAATGCTCACTATATTTAATTGTAAATGAGCATAGAGAATGGAATCATTTGCCTAAGGTATAAAAAAATAAAGATAACTGATAAGAAACAGATGTGTGAAAGTATCATAACTGATATTCCTGTTATTATTCAAATCTAAGCATGATTTATTTTACTTTATAAACCAAACAGAAAAGTATCCTCAAGAACTAAAGTAGTACCCTTACTATTATATGTAGTTAGATTACATTAGATTATAGAAATTAGATTCACATTATGTACTTCTGTTATTTTTAGCACTTACTAGACAACCTGCAACCCATTGGGTCACCCACTATTCAGGGGTTATGAAGAATTCAAGCTAATTTCAATCTTCCACCGAAATGAAGGTTTATTTTGAGATAATTAAATTAAATATTTCAATCCATTCATGTTACTCATAATTCAAGAAAAGATATTTGGTTGTTGATCGGGAGTAAAAGTAAAGGCCATTTCATTTTTCAAAAAAGTGAAGTCAGAGTTTTCAGGTATTGTGATGAATTAGTTCATTATGTTGTGGTCTTTCCTCTTAAGCCTTCTACAAATAAGAAACAGTAACACTTTATTTTCTTCGAATTACCTACCATAACCAAGG